GGGCCGCACGCATGCCAGGCGAGCGCGCTACCGCTTGAGCGATATCCCCAGCCCCAGGGTCTCCTTATTTTGACCTCACTATGGGTCCTTACCTCTGGCCTGGAAGACCCCAGTCCACAGGTCGGAAGGGCACCATCTCCACTCTGTCTCCTCCCCTTCTAGTAGATATGGAAAAATGACAAACCCCAAAATAATGAGACCCAGGAAAAGGGAATGAAAAAGCCATACATTGATAGCACTAATCCTTTCCCAGTGACAAGACAGGCCCCAGGGAGGAGGCATCCATCAAGTCTGGAATGACAGTCTCTGCTAAGAGGCTACAGTAGAGATCCTTTCCTAAACAAACCCTTCCAGATACCAACCACTGGCCCCAGGCCCTCCATCCAGTCCAGTGAGATAAATCCCAGATATTTACTGATGACCCCGACCCCCTCCCATTTCACCCAGTAAAACAGACCCCAAATTCCTGAGTGCCCGAACTGACACATTAATTCACCTTCTGACACATTCATTAAGTCAGTCATCTCGTCATAAGCTGTTTGTGAGATGCATGTAGGTCATGTGCATGGAAGCCTTATGGATAGAGACATCTGGAGTCTGGGAATGGCAGTGGACATTTCCTCTGGTTGATTGCCCAGGGACAATGTGAATCTCTTTCCTGCTCTGCCATGGCCCACACATCACCTGAGAGGGGTGACTTGCTGGGATGTCAATCAACCTGTTGATTGCAACACATCAGGAAGCAAGACTCCGCCCCTCAAACCTTATCCCATCTTTGATGTACCCCCTTAACTAAAGGACTGGAGCCATTTTCTCTTTGTCTAGTTCAAAAACCCATGTCGACTAGATCAATCAGGGACTTCGCTGTCTGTAAATATATTTGTTTGTGGGTTTTTTTTAATATTTATTTTTTTTAGTTGTAGTTGGACACAATACCTTTGTTTTATTTATTTTTAAAATATTTTTTTAGTTGTCAATGGACCTTTATTTTATTTATAAATAAAAAAAGTATATGCTGAGAAATGAACCCAGTGCCTCACACATGCTAGGCAAGTGCTCTACCACTGAGGCACCACCCCAGCCCAAGTGTTTGTTTTATTACTTGTTAATTATTTGAGATATTAAGATTTAGGGTGGCTTGGACTCTTCTGGGCAGAAGAACCTCTCTATGACACACTGGCCTTCTTCCCTCTGGAAAATCTTTCATGACTTAATTAAGCCCAGTCCTCTCCTTTGTTCAGTGGCTCATTTTCTACCATGAAAGTGGGCCCAGCAGCATCACCCCATTCCTGCCCACCCTGTTCCTGCATGAAACTTCTTTTCTGGATAAAAGGCTGAGATGATCCGTGAAGTTTGAGTCTGGCCAGGTCCTTTTGTGCTAACAACTTCTGTAACCGGAAGCTGGAGTCCTGGGCCTCCATGCCAATCCAATAACCAAGACAAGATCTTGAGAAAAAGGAAAAAGGTTTATTGCTTTGCTAGCAAAGGTGAAACACAGGGGACTCCAGTCCCAAAGGCTGTGATTCTGCCCATCCCCAGGGGCTTTTATAGAGGTGGCTTGAAAGGGTAAAGTTTCTAAGCTGGAAAGCTTGAATGTAAAAGATTAGGTAGAAGAGTCCAAGTTCCTCTGTTACACCCAGAACCTGGAATTCCTGAGATAGTTAAAACAACGCCCTACTGGCCATTTAGCCCCGAACCAATCAGTTTGAATGTGTAACCCGCTTATGAATGACCAATCACCCCTGCCCGAATGTGCCAATCACGTCTCAGAGTTGTTCAATTTCCCCGCGCCTCATGATGATTTGTTCTGATGTATGCAAAGCCCACCGCCCTCTCCAAAAAGTGTACTTAAGCTCTGCTTGACCTTTGCTCTGGGCTCTGGACTGCTCTCCCTTCTTGAGTGAGCACAGAGTCCCAGCGCGCTGGAATGGATCCCCAATAAATCCCCTTTGGCCAATTGCATGGAGTAAGTCTCTTGTGTGGTCTCTCCCTCCGACGTTTCGCCAGACCCTTACAGGCTCAGAGAAAATAAAGGGGAGTGGAGATCAGCAAGGAGAAGGCCAGGGAAAAGAAAATCAAGCAGCAGCTCAGTGACACTCACCTGTAATCTCAGAGGCTCTGGAGTTCAAAGCCAGCCTCAGCAAAGGGAGGTGCTCAGCAACTCAGAGAGACCCTATCTCTAAATAAAACACAAAATAGGGCTGGGGATGGGGCTCAGTGGTCCTGTGACCCTGATACTCAACCCCAGTACCACCATCACCCGCCCCCCAAAAAAAAAAAAAAAAAAAACTGATCAGGGAGGAGATGGGGAAGAAGTTGTTTAGGGAAAGGATGATCAGGGAGAAGTTTAGGGAAAAGATGATCAGGGAGGAGAAGTTTAGGGAAAAGATGATCAGGGAGAAGTTTAGGGAAAAGATGATCAGGGAGAAGTTTAGGGAAAAGATGATCAGGGAGGAGAAGTTTAGGGAAGGGGAAAAAGAAAAAAAAATAACATGTAACTTTCAAAGCCACAAGGGACACAGTCAAACCATCAAGGGAACCTGCTGGCATCCCACTGAAGCCAGATTTAAAGATATGTTGATAGTGTAGTTAGGTAAATCGGGTCCAATATGAGTAAAATCGAAAATGAAGGCCATGATGAAAATGGAGCCCGGGAAAGCAAAGAAGCACTTGGGAAATTGAAATGTTAATATTCCCAAGGCCCAGAGCCCATTCTAAAGAAATGTTAATGAAACAGCTCCCAGCAAACAGGGAGATGCTAATCAAAAGCAGCCCCAGGCCCTTCCTGACCAGATTACTCCTCAGGCCCATCTGCCCCTCACCTTTTGGGTCTCCCCACCTACATTCTATAACTGCAAGATAATAGGACAAAGGACAGAACTCGGTCAGAAAGCTAAATGAAGACCTTAGTATAAAAGAGAGAAGAACTCCCCCTTCCATGGATCCCACCTCTTGGGTCCCCTTCTTCCTCAGGGAGAAGTCTTTCCTGCTGTCCTTAATGAAGCTTCTACTTTCCGCTCTAAACCTGCCCCGGGTGCTTCTCTGCTGTTATACTTCAGCACTGGGGAAGCAAGGCCAAGTCACCGGTAAAGAGCGGTAACCGCATAGGGAGGTGCCAGTGGCCCGGCCTGAGTGGGTGCTGCAGGAAGAAGGCCTGCGGTCTGGCCCTTGTGGGAAGCGCTCATCCGCGCTCTGGGTAGAGGGGCGACAAGGGGTCGGCGAGGTGGCAGGTGGTAAGACACTGGCCTAGCAAGCGCAAGGCCCGGGGCTCCATCCCCAGCACCGGAAAAGGGAAGGGAAAAGGAGAGAAAATGAAAAAGAAAGGACAACGCCTGAAGGTGGTAAGTAGGGCTCCAGGAAGTCACGCCCCCCGGAACGCACTCCCGCCGCGGACACGGCCGGCGTCGCACCCACCTCCCCGCCCCTCACCAACT